TGCTAAAGGCGGATCGATAAGTAAGGCCGTCTTAACTTTAGGGATTACATATTCCTTTATAAGATTTACAACGTCATTCTCAAGATCTGATTTAGATACTTGCACAGCTATTCTGTTATGAGTGTCAAACGGCTTGGAAGCTACGGGGCGTTTCTTTATGTCGCCAACCACAGAGATAACAATCTGCCTATGGAACTTGTTAAGCGGCTGGTCTACAATAGGAACTTCAAGAATGGGGTTTTCCTTACTGGTATGTGCGGATGCTGTGGACGAATTTTCCACAGAAGGCGGTCTATCCGACGCGAGAGCAATCATCGAATCCGTTTCCTCGTTATGTATCTCGACGCGCGAAAGGGCATCAGCGTTAGTGTTCGATTTACCACTTTTATACTTTACAGTGAAATCATACTCGGATAACTTGAGCTTCCATCTAGTTAGACGTGCATTAGGTTCTTTTAGCTGCATGACCCACTGAAGCGGCTTATGGTCGGTAATGATTTTAAATTTGCGGCCAAAAAGGTAGGGCCGGAAATGTTTTGTTGCCCAAACGATCGCGAGGAGCTCCTTCTCTATTGTGCTATAATTTAACTCACTGTCGTTTAGCGTGCGAGAAGCGTAACAAATCGGTTTGTCTGCACCTTCGGGGCCTTGTGATAATATAGCGCCTAAAGCTACGTTGGAAGCGTCGGTAGTTAAGATGAACTCCTTATTAAAGTTTGGGTATTGCAAAATCGGATCATTAGTTAAAAGGTTTTTACATTTTTCAAAGCAATCTGTATATTCTGAATTAATAACAACTTTGTTTCCTTTCTTTAGGCATTGTGTAAATGGCTTAGTGATGCGCGCGAGGTTCGGGATAAATTTTCTATAATACCCTACTAGGCCTAGGAATTGCTTGATTTCTTTGGGGGTTCTGGGCATTGGATAGTTCTTAATAGCCCTAATCTTGTCAGGGTTCGGCTTGATGCCGTCTTTGGTAATGTGCCCTAAATAGGCGGTCTCCAGTTTGAGAAATTCGGACTTGTCCATTTGGACTTTGAAATTTGATTCTCTAAGTCTTGAAAATACCGTTTCGAGGTTGATCATGTGCTCTTGAAGTGAGGTACTAAAAACTACTATGTCGTCGAGGTAGACCAGACAGATGACGTTTTGGAGACCCTTCAAGACATTGTCCATCACCCGCTGGAAGGTAGATGGTGAATTTTTCAGGCCCATGGGCATGCGTAGAAATTCGTAATGCCCATTTTCTACGTTAAATGCTGTTTTGGGTATGTCTTCTGGGTCCATCTCGACCTGATAGAAACCACTAGCCAGATCGAGGGTCGAGAAATATTGGCAATTACCTAGCTTGTCCAAAACGTCATTAATGTTGGGAATCGGATATTTGTCGTCAATAGTTTTTTCATTTAATTTCCGAAAGTCTACGACTAAACGCCATTTGGTCTTTCCTGAGGCATCAGGTTTTTTTGGTACTATCCAAATAGGGGAGCTCCAGGCAGACTCCGATGGTCTAATTATACCCTGACTTAGCATTTTCCCTATCTGATCCCTGACCTCATCGCGGTGTATGTAAGGGTAACGATAACTTTTTGTGAAGACCGGCATCTCATCACATGTCCTAATCTTGTGTTTAATCTTATTTGTAAAAGTCAAAGCCTCTCCGTCAATATAAAATATATCTGCATATTTTTGACACAGATTCTCTAAGTTAATCCGCTCTTCCATATTAAGATGGTCTGTGCGCAAGCGTGACAGTACTTCGCGTTCGCGCGACGTCATTTGTTCAATGCCTGTGCATTGGACGTTATAAGCCTCTGCATGAACGGCGCGATCCATAGAAAATATTAAGTCGTGCGAGGTTGGATTCGTAATTTCAAGAAAACCACGATTATTTTTGACGGTGGTTAGGCATTCATTTATTACGCAATTAGAAATGATCTGTTCGTCAATATAAGCGTCTCCGTCTTGCAAATTAATAGGGACCCTAACTAGCTTCGTTGTTTTTGCAGGGATCACGTCTTCATAAAAGTTTATATTCCGTGAATTATACATATGAATTGGAGTAACAGAATTACGCGTGAATAATTTTTTGTCTTTAAGATCAATTTTGGCTTCCCAATTTTCTAATAAATCTAAACCGATAAGGCCGTCGAAAAAGTCATGAAATTTATAAACGAACAATTTAATATTTTCTGTTTCCCGAAATTCGCTGAAACATGGCAGAGTTATAGAATAATCGTTGCGCGTGGTAGCGTGTACGTTTGTTACCTCGAAGGGGTCAAAGTTTAACGGGATTTCGTGAAAAAATTTACCTACAGCTTCCGGGCAAATAAAAGATTGATTAGCACCCGTATCGATCAAAAATTTTAAAGGTGGATTTGAAATTTGTATGTACGGGAGCTGTCTCTGTGACTGCAAAATCAATTCTATTTTGGCTTTTCGGATTTCCCTTGCTTGGGAAAATCCTGCTCCTGTGTTGAGCTCGTGCTAGGCATTTCGGGATCAACGTAGGATCCTGATGGGATCTCTTGAGATAAATCGTAATTTGGTAGCTCGTTAATCACGTAATTTATCGGTTCTGGGTCGTAATACTCCGGGTAGACCCCATAGTAAGAATCATTGGGTTCGTTATATGTGTACTCGGGAAAGTAATAGCAATGACCATCACCATAGTTCACAAATTCGTTCATGTTCATCTCCCTAGTCTTAAAGTAGTTAGATGGCGGCGGATTTCCGAATTTTCGCCAATCGTGACCAGACATTTGACCACCCGTGGGCCTTTCCTTTGTAACGTAGTGGCTCACACCACTCATAGGCTTGTGACCCGAATTATATGAATCGTTTCTTGGTGGGAGTTGGAATCTATTAAGTTGCGGATTATAGTTAGGTGGTTGCGCGCGGAATATCTGTTGCGTGCGTGTCGGCATACCTACAGGCCTATATGGTACGGGAGCATTGTTAAAATTATTCGGCCGCCATTGTTGTTGAGAGAATTTAAAATTAGGCATAGGCATTGGTTGTACGGGGAATTTATACGCGGCTATTGGTGAAGGCATGGGTACTTGTGGTGCCTGCGGTTTTTTATCTGCGGCAGATCCACTGCGATTCTGAAGATACATTACATTTAATTCTTCTTGTACAAATTCAAGTGCCTTTTCTACACTATCAGGACGCATGCATCGTATGCGAGAGCCGAGAGGCTCTTTTAATCCGCGAACAAATGCCTGCATCGTGAGCTTTCTGTAAAGGTCACGCTTAGCTTTAATGGTCGTATCGACAGTGTCGTGTAAGGTGACATAGGTCATGATAGTGCTGAACAAGTTTACACATCGGTCGTAGAATTCTTGGGGCGAACTATTCCCCTGTGTGGCTATCATAAGATCGTTATAAAGGGCGGTCTCATCTCTTTGATCGGAGAAATTATTAATTAAAGCTGTTTTAATGCTATTCCAATCTTCAGTTATACCGTTAGAATTAATTATTCGTGCGGCAGGTCCAGTAATCTTATTTAAGATACCATTAACGAGGTAAAGTTTAGCTAATGCATTACCTTCGTTTTGATTTATATATTCCGCTGCGATCTGATCACATAAATTTATAAAGCGGGGCAAAATATGCGAGTTACCGTCGAATTCGGGTACTAGGCGTAAGGCCTTAATAATTACGTCTACGTCAGCCATTATTGCGGATTCCGGATCGCTTAGTCCCTTAGAATTATGCGATAAAGTATTTGAACCTACACTTATATTCCTATTTGTATCTAAATTAAGTCTACGGGCCACTCGATTATTTGCAGGCCCTCTAGGGGTGGATTGCCTGGGATGAAAAATCTTGGCGGTAAAAAAAAAAGGTAAATTATATGTAAAAGGAAGCAACACAGAATTGGTTTCAGTGTACTTACATAAATTGCATTCTGGTTCCTCTGGGATCGATTTCTTGATTTATCCTCCAGCCAGGCTCCAGGTTCTTTTCAAGGATACTCGAAGACGCGCGATCGCTCGCGACGGTAGCGATTGATTTACGACGCGGGATTTCGATGTGAGAAAACCCTATCAAAACTACCTCAAGACGCCTTGAGTATCCTACCGACTGCGCCAATTATGGTAACCACAGCCGAAGGACCCAAAAAAAACCAAATTTATTTAAATAAATTTAATAAAACTAATTTTACAATTAAACTTAAGTCTATGCCTGATCGATGCTAGATACAGAATGCTTAAATTAAATTTTATGAAATAAAATGTTGCATCGCGGTAAACGCGCATTGACGTCAATCGGGGTGCAGTGTCAGCGGCGGTGATCACGTTGCGTCCGGTGGCGGCACGTGTGAGCGGTGTCAGCAGGTGCTGTATTGAGGTCATCGCTTATTGCAAATTACTAGTGAGGGCTTGATATAACAATACTTCAAAACAAACAAATTAAATAAGCAAAATGGCGGATTGTGTCAGCGCTACTGAAGTAGCAATCGTGTCCTGGCCGAAAACTATTTCAGCGCTGATTAAGCGCTTGCTAGCGCTTTTTTCTGCCAAACGCACCCAATAATTACAGTTTAAGTTTTCAACATTGTACCATTACTAACTGGAACATACTATGATAACCGAAGGATGGTTGTGAGAGTAGTACAAATAATATTAAAATATATTTTATTTAGGCTTAGAAAAGAATATGAGCGTAACAGTATAAAATATCTTATGTTGAAAAATTGTTATGTATGATAATTCGTAAGGAGAAATCAATTAATATTTTTATAGGATGGCAGCGCGGGCCAAAAGGCTGATTTTTTGTTTGTAAAAAATAGATCAACATTTTGTGTCCGTTGACGTAGAATGAAATTCTAAAAACAAATTAATAATTTAATGTTTTTTTAAATTAATCTTGTAACAACCGTCACTAAAACGATAAAAAGATATACATGAACAAAAAAGCAATGTTAGTTAAAAAAGGAGACGTTTTTTGAAATCATAATATAAATATTATAGTAGGTTTAACTGGCAACATTTTTACTGATAGGGATATAACATAGCAACAGCTGGATCTTCTGTTTCGAATGTGATAAGGATATCTTTAAACTTATCCAGAAGCTGCATGAGCTGCGAGCGGGTTACATTCTCCATGAACATTATTTCTTCTAAGTGTTGTTCGCCACGGAAGTATCCTGCAAAAGGAAATTCAATTTAACGGTGCTGTTTTTGATATGATGTGAACTAAATTATTAAATTAAAGTTATATAATATATTTACATTGCTGTATTATGCCAATGTAAATATAACAGCAGTAATGCGTGTTCCTCGTTCAATAATTTCGCTACCATAACGTTTATTAGTCTCTCCCATAGATTGCCTCATAGAGATTTCAGATAAAGCTGCCGTACATACAGTACTGCCGCTACGTTTGGCATCGCAGTTTTAGTGTTCTTTTGAGTTATCATCAGGAAGATGCTGCTGCTCATCTCCTGTTTCATTTCACTTCGTTTCGGCGCCCGAGAGCGCGAGCAGTTTATATTGGCACGACATTGTTTATGTGCGCGAGACATACTGATGCTGACCCTTGTTGTGCAGGCGCGCCAGCAGCAGCAGGTCGTCGGGGTGCGCGGCGGCGGGCAGCGCGGCCAGCACGGCGCGCTCGGCGCCCGAGCAGTTTATATTGGCACGGCATTGTTTTTGTGCGCGAGACATACTGATGCTGACCCTTGTTGTGCAGGCGCGCCAGCAGCAACAGGTCGTCGGGGTGCGCGGCGACGGGCAGCGCGGCCAGCACGGCGCGCTCGGCGCCCGAGAGCGCGACCAGTTTATACTGGCACGGCATTGTTTATGTGCGCGAGACATACTGATGCTGACCCTTGTTGTGCAGGCGCGCCAGCAGCAGCAGGTCGTCGGGGTGCGCGGCGACGGGCAGCGCGGCCAGCACGGCGCGCTCGGCGCCCGAGAGCGCGACCAGTTTATACTGGCACGGCAATGTTTATGTGCGCGAGATATACTGATGCTGACCCTTGTTGTGCAGGCGCGCCAGCAGCAGCAGGTCATCGGGGTGCGCGGCGGCGGGCAGCGCGGCTAGCGCGGAGTGCACGGCGCCCGAGAGCGCGACCAGTTTATACTGGCACGTCAATGTTTATGTGCGCGAGACATACTGATGCTGACCCTTGTTGTGCAGGCGCGCCAGCAGCAGCAGGTCGTCGGGGTGCGCGGCGACGGGCCGCGCGGCCAGCACGGCGCGCTCGGCGCCCGAGAGCGCGACCAGTTTATACTGGCACGGCAATGTTTATGCGCGCGAGACATACTGATGCTGACCCTTGCTGTGCAGGCGCGCCAGCAGCAGCAGGTCGTCGGGGTGCGCAGCGACGGGCAGCGCGGCCAGCACGGCGCGCTCGGCGCCCGAGCAGTTTATATTGGCACGGCATTGTTTATGTGCGCGAGACATACTGATGCTGACCCTTGTTGTGCAGGCGCGCCAGCAGCAGCAGGTCGTCGGGGTGCGCGGCGACGGGCAGCGCGGCTAGCGCGGCGCGCTCGGCGCCCGAGAGCGCGACCAGTTTATACTGGCACGGCATTGTTTATGTGCGCGAGACATACTGATGCTGACCCTTGTTGTGCAGGCGCGCCAGCAGCAGCAGGTCGTCGGGGTGCGCGGCGGCGGGCAGCGCGGCTAGCGCGGCGCGCTCGGCGCCCGAGAGCGCGACCAGTTTATACTGGCACGGCATTGTTTATGTGCGCGAGATATACTGATGCTGACCCTTGTTGTGCAGGCGCGCCAGCAGCAGCAGGTCATCGGGGTGCGCGGCGGCGGGCAGCGCGGCTAGCGCGGCGCGCTCGGCGCCCGAGAGCGCGACCAGTTTATACTGGCACGGCAATGTTTATGTGCGCGAGTCATACTGATGCTGACCCTTGTTGTGCAGGCGCGCCAGCAGCAGCAGGTCGTCAGGGTACGCGGCTGCGGGCACCGCGGCCAGCACGGCGCGCTCGGCGCCCGAGAGCGCGACCAGTTTATACTGGCACGGCATTGTTTATGTGCGCGAGACATACTGATGCTGACCCTTGTTGTGCAGGCGCGCCAGCAGCAGCAGTTCGTCGGGGTGCGCGGCGGCGGGCAGCACGGCGCGCTCGGCGCTCGAGAGCGCGACCAGTTTATACTGGCACGGCATTGTTTATGTGCGCTAGATATACTGATGCTGACCCTTGTTGTGCAGGCGCGCCAGCAGCAGCAGGTCGTCGGGGTGCGCGGCGGCGGGCAGCGCGGCTAGCGCGGCGCGCTCGGCGTCCGAGAGCGCGACCAGTTTATACTGGCACGGCATTGTTTATGTGCGCGAGACATACTGATGCTGAGCCTTGTTGTGCAGGCGCGCCAGCAGCAGCAGGTCATCGGGGTGCGCGGCGGCGGGCAGCGCGGCTAGCGCGTCGCGCACGGCGCCCGAGAGCGCGACCAGTTTATACTGGCACGCCAATGTTTATGTGCGCGAGACATACTGATGCTGATCCTTGTTGTGCAGGCGCGCCAGCAGCAGCAGGTTATCGGGGTGCGCGGCGGCGGGCAGCGCGGCCAGCGCGGCGCGCTCGGCGCCCGAGAGCGCGACCAATTTATACTGGCACGGCATTGTTTATGTGCGCTAGATATACTGATGCTGACCCTTGTTGTGCAGGCGCGCCAGCAGCAGCAGGTCGTCGGGGTGCGCGGCGGCGGGCAGCGCGGCTAGCGCGGCGCGCTCGGCGCCCGAGAGCGCGACCAGTTTATACTGGCACGGCATTGTTTATGTGCGCGAGACATACTGATGTTGACCCTTGTTGTGCAGGCGCGCCAGCAGCAGCAGGTCATCGGGGTGCGCAGCGGCGGGCAGCGCGGCTAGCGCGGCGCGCACGGCGCCCGAGAGCGCGACCAGTTTATACTGGCACGGCAATGTTTATGTGCGCGAGACATACTGATGCTGATCCTTGTTGTGCAGGCGCGCCAGCAGCAGCAGGTCATCGGGGTGCGCGGCGGCGGGCAGCGCGGCCAGCGCGGCGCGCTCGGCGCCCGAGAGCGCGACCAGTTTATACTGGACGGCATTGTTTATGCGCGCGAGACATACTGATGCTGACCCTTGTTGTGCAGGCGCGCCAGCAGCAGCAGGTCATCGGGGTGCGCGGCGGCGGGCAGCGCGGCCAGCGCGGCGCGCTCGGCACCCGAGAAAGCGAGCAGCGGCGACGCGCGCGCCGCGCACCCGCCACCCGCGCCCGCACCCGCTCCAGCCGCCACGCACACCGTCGCCGCCTGGAAACTGACCAACCACCACATTCTCAAACGAAAATACTCTTCAAACACTTCAAATTAGTGATGCAACGAATACGAATACAAATACGCGTATTCGCCGAACAATAGACATTTACCGAATATTCGTATTCGATGAATACTAATCACGAATATCTAAAAACTAATATTTTTGTACGTAACTCTAATAAATGACAGACTTTGAAAACGCGCGTCGTCGGCGCGTAAAATATACGACGTGTTGATAGGCCCTAAGCCACAACGACGGTTAGACAAGTGCAAGGGAGTTATTACTAATTTTTAACACTCACACTAAAAGATTTTCAACAAGCTAACAATATACCGAAACATGTTTTGTTTCAAGATGTAGAAACTAGATGGGACTCAACCACAGAAATCTAAATAATAAGGCAATAGAAATAAATGCCTTCTACTGTCTCTTAATATCAGGACGCGTGTCACCGGTTTGCAGCTCTCACACATAGATAAACAATAAATACACAATTACGCCTACACATGTATCTAGCATTCATGCAACAAAGATTAAACTATAAACTATTTCGTTAAGGAATATTTTATAAAAACGCAAAATCTCAGGAGGCGTAGCCACTCGGTCCAATAATTAACGTGTGCGAAAAACAGAGAATGACATTGCGCGCTCACTCTCACTTGTGCATAGTGCATCGCAACGCAAGTTTCGATGACTTTTTAGCGTCGTTGATCGTCCAGGAGTCTCATACCAAGATATAACTAATTAACTGAAAATGTCTCAGTAATAGACGCTTTTAGTCTTAGCTTTAGCTTATAGACGCTTTATAATTAGAGAAAAGCGGATATAATAAAACGTTAAGGATAAGTATATCTATTTATCTTTAATATCCGGATCTTTTGGAAACCAGAAATAATAGCATTTTTTTTAAATAAACAGATGTATAAATAAAATGAATACAACATTATACAAACAGCAAATAAATAAATTATATATGTATGGGTGACATATTTATCATTTTTTATTAGTTTTAAAGATCTGTAACTGACTTTCTGTTGTTTGTTATTTTTCAGTTACCCGGCTTCTTACAGATCAAATTTAGTCTACTATCCTTAAAATATAATTACTTATCCTTACAATATATTAAAATTGAATAAAAATTTATCATCTAATTTACAAGTACGAACAAACAGGTAATCGCTGATAAACGGCTAACGGTATAAAATATTTAGAAACAAAAAAAAAATAATAGAGAAAGTGTATATAAATATTTAACGAAAAATCATATTTCATTCCCATTTCGGTAAAACTAGGTAAGCCAAACGTAATAACTTGTCGATATAAAATAGTAGTCTCACGTAACTGACTCGCGTTCGACTCCTGCGGCCGTGTTCTCTATTAATTGCCCATACTATAAATTCATCGCTGCTTTTAGCTGTCGTACTCGTAGACATGAACTAGCTTAAGAATCAATGGATTTTGAAATGTGAAAACAATTACATTTTCGAAGACAATCGTAGTACTGGAGGTGAATAATTTTATTTAAGTATATTTCATTAAAAACAACATTATTTAAAACACTAAGTACTTATTTATGCAATGTTATCCCTTTATTAGAAAATTTGCAAGTTGTGGAAGAATTTCTGCAGTTGGATATGATTCAAAACATCATTTTTACGTCTCTGCGTCCGAAACAAAACTGGTGACCGAAACAAACGCTCTTCGCCCGCTTGTGGCCTAGGAGTCACATGTGCGGCGACAAGGTCACGCGCTTTTACGACTTTTATTGCCTTATTATTTAGATTTCTGTGGACTCAACATATCAGATGTTGAAGAGATTACATGTACAACGCATAGCGATTCAAGATATTTTACCATCTCTGCCAAATTGTCGTCATGAAATCACAGTAAGGCAATGATAATGGCTATTATGAGCCAAATTATTGATATTCTGGCCAATTTTGAAGAAGCTACTAAAGAGCTAAGCAAAGAATCAAGGACATTATCTCAAGCAATCCTAATAATAGGAAGTCTCAAATCTTGCATCTGATCCATTGGCCTTTTATTTGGAGAGAAGATGTCCATTTTCAAAAGCTGAAAAAACTCGCACAAAAATATTTTTCACTGAAACCATGTACAGTCGGCTCGGAAAGGCTTTTTTCAACGGCTGGGAACATCCAGACTGAAAAAAGAAATCGCCTAAAACCAAAAAATCTACAAATTATAGGTTTTATAAATTAGATTTTATATAATTAGATTGTAAATTTTAATAATTAGAACAATATAAAATCATCAAATAAATTAGTTTTTCATTACCATGGCGAGATATTCGTATACGTATTCGGCGAATATTAGATTTGATATTCGTAAAAGTAGTATTCGTTGCATAACTACGAGGGTGCATTGAAAAGTACTCGGCCTAACACAGATCCATTCAATTCTAAAAATCAAATCTACCCACATTATTTAGTTCAGTTCAGACTAGTTCATTGTGTGAAGTTCGAAACGTGTGCGATAATTAGTTGTGATTTTATAAATTTATTAACAAAGTAATCGGACATAATTTCCGCGAATGGAGCAAATCGAGCAGCGTGCCGTCATTAAGTACCTCCATAAGAAGGGGCTATCATCAAAAGCCATCCATGATGACATGGTCAGTACATTAGGCGACTGTGCTCTGTCATATTCATTCGTCAAAAAATGGATAGCAGAATTTAAGCGTGGTAGAGAGAGTGTGAAAGATGAACCCCGCTCTGGAAGGCCTTCGACGTCAACTACTGACGAAAATATTAAAAAAGTACTTGATTTAATAATGGGAGACCGCAGATTAAAAATTAGAGAGATAGCCGAGATTATAGGCATCTCTTATGAACGAACTCAAAACATCATTGTCAACGAGTTGGGTTTCCACAAGGTGTCTGCGAGGTGGGTTCCGCGACTGCTTTCAGTTGAACAAAAAAGGACGCGATTGACTATTTCACGCGACTGTTTGGAGTTATTTGAAGCCGATGCAGATGATTTTTTGAATCGTTTTGTTACTATGGACGAAACATGGGTTCATTACTGTACACCGGAAACAAAACAACAATCCAAACAGTGGAGAAGACCTGGTTCACCACCCCCTAAAAAGGCTAAGTCGATTTTGTCGGCAAATAAGGTGATGGCTTCAGTATTCTGGGACTCGAAAGGTGTGATTATGATTGATTATCTTGAAAGGGGTCAGACTATAAACTCTGATTACTACTGCACCTTACTACGTCGTTTACGAGAGGAAATAAAAGAAAAACGTCGAGGAATGCTCAGAAGAAAAGTCCTGTTTCATCAAGATAACGCCCGTGTTCACACGTCAGTACAGTCAATGGCTGAAATTCACAACTGTGGCTTTGAACTGTTACCGCATCCGCCGTATTCACCTGATCTGGCACCATCAGACTTCTTTCTGTTCCCTAACCTAAAAAAGCACTTAGGAGGTCAAAGATTTTCGACAAACGACGAGGTCAAAGCAGCTGTAGACGCATATTTTGACTCTAAGGAAGAATCATTTTTTTTCAACGGTCTAAATGCTTGGAAGGGGAGGTGGCAAAAGTGTATTGAACTTGATGGTGATTATGTAGAAAAATAAAAATATAACTGATTTAGTATGTGTTTAGTTTCTTGGTTAGGCCGAGTACTTTTCAATCCACCCTCGTACTTCAAATACAAAATTTATATATTTTTTGAAGAGAAAACTTCTTCAAAATCGTTGTGATTTGAAACGAAAAGTTAAAGTAAGAACCTATATACGCCCACTACAACGCCGGCACAGGCCTCCTTTCATTTCTGAGGAGGTCTTTACGCAAGGAAATGTCCGCCGCGCTACCCCAGTGCCTGTTGGCGAACTTCGAAATATTTTTTGAAAAAAAAAAACGAACTATTTTTGTTCTTATTTCTTAGACATGGATTTCCACACGATGTCTTTCTTCACCGTGAGCACGTGGTAAATCAGCACTTAAATTTTAACTGCAATTTTGATTAGAGCCGGCGGGGATCGAACCCGAGTAGCTCGCTTACTGTGAAATTAACAGAGAGCGCCTAGTACCAGAACCGAAAAAACGACACTAATAACAAACAAATATACATTCTATAGGATAGCCTGCGAGAGAATGAGATAGAATATAGTATACGGTGAAATAGAAATAAAAACTTTTTTATTCACTATAGATTATAAAGAAAGTCACTTTTTTAAATTTACCATTGGTTCTGAAAAAAACCTCTGTCCTGGGAAGAACCAGCAAAAAACCCAGCGGGGCTTTAAAAAAAATAACAGCTTAGATTCATGTATGTTACAATTAACAACACAAAACAAATTAAAAGAAGCTTGGTAGCGATCACCTTTCCAAAGGGTTATTATCATCCATAATTTTTTTGAATATTATAATAAACCTTTTTATACATAGTTTATTAAATTTTGAAGCTTGTGTAGGCCAAATTTTGTATATTTCCTGAGATTTTGTTGTAAAAGCGTATACATCGCCCCAAGAATGAATTACTGACTCGGTGGAGTCAAGTAACTGGTACTATTTAGCTTGTGTCTGTTCCTAGTATTTACAGAATGAATATCACTTATATTTTTAAAACTACTTATTTTTGTGTACATACATTACATTTTCATAAATGTATTGAGGGGTGGAAGTTAATTATATATTAATTTCCTTAAATTTTTGTCGAAGCGACTCCTTAGGTTTTAATTCATAGATTGCGCTAATGACCCTCTTCTGTAAAACAAATATAATTTCAGAGTCAGAAGAGTTGCAGAAATGTTCCTGTGAGTATTGAAGGGGTGAATGAGCCAGGAGAGATAGCAAATTTATTTCAAGAGCATTTTAAAGTAATATCACCGAACATTTCGTCGCGGATAGTGTCAGATGTTGAGGACGGCCAGACGGGCGCGGGCGTGCCAATTAGCTTTACGCCGAATGAAGTTTCGACGTAATTAAAAACATGCATGGTAAATCGCCAGGGCACGATGGCCTCAGCATTGA